GTCACATCTTTCACAGAATATCTTTTTTTAAATGTCATTAGTATCATCATTGAAATGCCAATTGCGCAGTTTGATCTGGTACTTTAAACGCTGCTGTTTAGCTTGAAGCCAAGATCGGATGCCGCAAATCTTCCATGGCGACATAAGTCTAATATTATAGAGGCTAGCTAGGCTTGCATTCAACACGGGAAACATAACTGCAAGGCGTTGCATGCTTACCGATTGCGTTTTTTGTGTATCCGTAGATAGATTTGCCTTTGAACCTTTATGTCGTGACCGTTCCAGCCTCCTCCTCCATCTTCGCGTATGTCTGCCTGCGATTATCACTGATTGATGTAATAACATGCCGGATCAAATCCTGTGCAACAGGATTAGCATGCAATATACACACGCAGCCACGCACGCACACACGCACACCGCACACACGCCGCACACACACACGCACGCACGCACGTCACGCACACACACCCACCACACAGCACACACGACACCACACCACTCTCTACCGTCCCACGCGCGTGCCAGACAAACGGCCTGGAGGTCCAGGGTAAGCATTACAAATAACAAGGCGTATCAATCACAGTTTAAATCGAGATTAATACATCTCCAGCGATATTTCATGCCTCCCCCAATTACCTGTTCGCGTGCGCGATAGCTCAGTAAGTGCTAACCTTAGTCGTCGAAGTACATTTATTATTTTCATCGTTCGTGTTCGTGATGAACCGTGATCGATGATGCGCTGCGAGAACTATTAACCTCACGTCAGAACTGCATTGCGGTAAGCCAAGCCTCATCCTATGATGTTGGTGTCTTTTTCGGTTAGGTCGGCGATCAGCGAGAACAGTTTACTGACCTATATTACACAGCGTCCTATATTGTTGCCACGCCACGCAGCGCGACGACATCACACCACAACCACACATCACCCCTCACACACACACATACACTACGCCGGCAGCACGACACCCCCACCCACACACACACCACGCACGCCACGCACGCACGAGACACCCCCCCCCACACACCACTCCCACACAACACACAGCACACACACACACCATCACACACACATCAGCACACACATCACACACATCACACACACACTCACGGACTACAGCACAGCAACACACAAGCACGACGCGCGCACACACACACTGACACACACACACACAACACGCACGCACGCACGGACACACACACACACAAGCCACGAGCGCGCACACGCACACGCACACGCACACGCACACACACGCGCGCGCGCCCACCCAGCTCAAAGCACCGGTGGCGCGATTAGTTAATTAACTTGGTTTTGCGAGTAGCTGCTCGAGAATCTAACATTCACCGACGACGAAATTTCGGGGTCATTTGGCGGGCTCTCTCGCCAAATAGACAGTGCGATGTGATTATAGTTCCACTGGCCGTAGAGGCTTCACTCCACTCGTTTCTTAGTAGTACTACTCGTAGTGATACTCAGGCTACTGTTTGGTTGCATACATGAGAAGTGTAATTGGATCTGGGTCGAGGGTGCTGCTTGTATAGATGATGCAATCTTGATGAGCAGAGAACTTTACGGCGTCGGCCGCCGGAGCTACGACTACGACCTTTACCGAGCTGATATCCCCCCCCCATGATAAAGCGCCTCCTCCCTAGTGGTTTGCCGTATTTACTAGAGGGAGGGGGTTTTTTAATGGCGTGCATGCACCAGAATTTTAGTATCGGTATCGGTATTGGTATCGGCATTGGTATCGGCATCGGCATTGGTATCGGCATTGGTATCGGCATTGGTATCGGTAATGGTATTGGTATCGGTATTGGTATCGGTATTGGTATCGGCATTGGTATCGGCATCGGTATTGAGTCTCCATGGCGATATTCCATCGTCTAGCATGTGCTGCGCTGTAGCAATGCGCTTCCGGTTCCGTTTTTAATGTTTGTGTGGGCGCTACATGCATGGTTTGTCGCTAGTTTTATAGCTCAATGGCATCGAGTGTCATAACCGTCGAATCTGCATGGGTGGTCGTGCCGAGGATCTGCATCCCGTAGAGACTGACTACACACACCTCCTCTGCACACGTGTTTGTTTGTCGGCGATTTCGCACATTTGAATACATGTTCGTCTCGGTTCGTCTGTGTACGTTTTTCCATGGCGAATTCTATTATCAAGAGTCCATAATAAAAAAAATTCTATTATGGATTCTTGATCATATCTAGAAGCTCGCAACACGATGTTTCGAACGCTGCGAGTTCGCAGTGCGATCGTGTGTTAATCCTCGAAATGTGTTCGCAGCTGCTGCGATTGACGTTCAGGTGCGTTAATTTACCTGAGACGTGACTGTCCACCAGCGCGCAAAGGTAACAATGCATCGTGATTATAATCAATGCGGTTGTGATTAGTAGCACGATAGAAACAGCGATGGTGACGAAGGGGGCGGGGGGCGGGCACCCCCCCTAGCAGCGCTGGGAACACGTAGCATTAGTAAAACGCCCACGTGGTATTATCGTCTCTTTTCTACATTGTTGGTGCTGTCGCCACAAAAGCCCGATACAGTGACACGCGTTTACATTACACGTGGCGGGTTGTGACATCAACAGCAGACCTGCCAAGGGTGTTCGACCAGCTTGCTGGAGGTTCAGTTAGATTTTGCTGGAGAATGGGTCATTTTGGGAGTTTAATCCTGGAGGTTCAGAATATTTTCAAACACGACCAGTTTCTGAATATTTGGCTCTAAAATATGTATTGCAAATACATATATTCTGTTAGCATTCTAAGAAAAGAAGACAACATTTAATTTAAGACATAAACACTTTAATTCTGATGTGTTACATACAGGTTTTTTTCTTTTGCGTGAAGGTGTGAGAATGCATAGGGCATGCGGGAGTGCGGGAGAATGGGTCCAGATGCGTGAGTCTCCCGCGAAATGCGTGCGACTTGGTAGGTCTGCAACAGGCGCTAGCGACGTTGGGTCGCGAATACTATATATAGTCATCTCCAAGATGAGGTGGCGACGTCACTAGAGATAATATCTATATTATATTATATATTAATATCTATATCTATATTGAGTATTATAGATGATTGTAATGGACTGCTATAGTTCTGATAGGTTGACTGATTGATATGATGCTCCGCTGCCAGGCGCGGACGAACCATGTCGTGTATGGGAGTAAAATCACCACCGAATAACTCGTCTTTCGACCATCCTTGACCTGCTTCCCTGTGCCGTCGAATACTGTCACCAATCATTTTTGTCGTTCACAAGTATTACTGATTTCATTCAATAAACGATATTTATAACTCGCGATAGTCAAAATCATAATAAGATGTTTAGGAAATTCGTCGGCCAGATATAAGAGAGGGTGTTCTCGGTAGAGAATTCTTCTAGACATAGAATTGCTTCGGCGTATCTGCGAATGAGCGTCAAACATGCGTTTCTTATACTCTGCTTTCTCGCTACGGACTATATGGCAACGCCGCGTCGAGATAAGCGAAGATAGACTGTTCAGTGGCGGATTCCAGATTTTTGAGATGGGGGAGGGGCGCAACCGGCGTAGCCAGGATTTCATTTTGGGGGTGCGGATTATTGTGATAGCGCCCTGAGCTGCGCTACGGCTGAGCGTGCCGGTGGGGCCGCGCGCGCTCTTGCGCCACCCCTTGGAGTCCGCGGTACTAGTTGTTGACGCCCAGTTGACACGCGCTTGTAAAGAATTGAGCGGCTCGAATACGTCTGTGGTGACACGGTGGTGAGTTTTCTTCGCGGTTCGCGCTCGTAACGCAGGGAAGGGTAACGGCATGTGAAGCGCAGCACTGAACTAAGACTAGAGTTAGGTTTTTAGCTTAACTGAGTTATTTTTAGTTCGGATGTACCAGGTAGCGTAACATCGGTATTGTGAGGGAGGAGAATGGGAAAGTTACTGGACTAACGCGGCAACAATCACACTGGGTGACGGGAGTGATAGAAAAATAGGGAACGGAGAAGACAAGAAAGTGGGATAGCTAATAAGCTCAGCTTATGCGCACGTATGATGAGAAATATATTATACAGCGAGAGAGTCGATGGTATTTTTTGGTTATAATTTATAGCAGTATTCATCAGACACTGAGACAAGAACTAGCGTTCTATTATTTCGTTTCTCTGTCCGCGTGTCAATAGCCGTGAACTAATTGTAAACCATAAAACTATTATAAACTTAAACTCTTACATAAACCCTAAGCTCCTAAGCCTATAGGAATGACGGCCTAAACTGAACCGAATCTAACCCTGACAGTAGGAACTCTATACCTGCAGTGAACACTATCAGTAAACGCCTAAGCGTAAACCCTAACTCTGAATTCTAATCCTAGAACACATGGACTACCGTGAACTCTAAACTAAACCCTATCAATAAACCCTATTCGGCGATAAACTTCTAACCTAAACCCTACAGTAAACGCCGTAACTTAACCCCATACCAGTGAACCTAACCTAAACCCTGCGATCGGGAAACCATAACCTAAACCCTATCATAAACCCTAACCTAAACCCTACCATGAACCCTAACCTAAACCCTAACTTAAACCCTATCATAAACGATAACCTAAACCCTAACCTAAACCCTACCATGAACCCAAACCTAACCCATAACATCAACCTTAACATGAACCCAAACTAAAACCATACCATCAACCCTAACATGAACCTAAACCATACCATAACTCCCAACTTGAATCCTAGCATGAACCCTAACCTCAACCCTAACCTAAACACCACTCCGAATTGAAAGTGTCTACATTAGTACGCCAGGACTCGGGTCTCACTATGGCGACTCGATCATATCGTCAGCGTGTGAGCGCGTCCTGCCGACGTGTACACGCGGTGCAAACTCCACGACAGATGGCGCTCTCGCTCATGGGCTCAATCTACACTATGCTGAGTGTACGAAGGTGCACTGCATGCAGTTTGCACGCGGTGTTGTACGCTGGCCACGCGTGGCGAAACTCTCCCCTTACACGGTTTTCTTACCCATCAACTTGCCGCGTACTTTGTTTGCCAGCTTCTTCACTTCCGACATGAGCCGATCCAGGTATTCCTTGTCTTCTGCAAGGAGAAGACACGCCGAGCGTGTGAGAGAACGCTCAACTGGATGCGATCGTGGCAACCAGAACGCGTTATAGGGGGTTATCGTAGAACCGTGTTAACAGGAGTGAATAAAAACAAGAACTTTGTTTTTATTCATTCTTGATGTTATATATAACAGTCAAACCCATGTTAGCCCGCACCGCTATATATAGAACAAACATGTGCCCATACCGGATACCTTTGCTATCTATAATGCGAGTTACACGGTCAAACTACCGCTACAAAACGGGCACGTGTCCATAAAGAACACTTTTGTGGTTTCTCTGGTGTTATCCTCCATATACAGTTTTGACTGCGCTGTGTGTGTGTTCACCGGCCGCAGATGGCCAATGTCAACGTACCTGTGAGAGGGATTCCCGAAGCGCGACATATCGCTTGTGTTCGCACAGCACGCGTTATTTGTTCTTGGGATTCTTCCAAAAAAGGCCCCTACTTTCGTGTAAACTCTGTTGTGTAAACCTTACGTGATGCGATGCCGCTGCTAAAGCCCCGTATGTGTCATTTTAGGCACGCGCAACATATCAAGCGTGGTGTCAGTTAATAAAAGATCGCTGTTTCTTCTCTATATTAGCCCACCGCGTATAGGCGCAAGTTCGCCACCGCTAGCGCTGGCTATTTTTTTTAAATTATTTTACGTAGTAAACCTCGGGTTTAGCTTTCCTCAATGCACTATTGCCTAGGCTGTCTATGTAATTTCCTCTATTCATGGATTACAGAATAGTTGTAGAAGAAATGTAATGCCGGAAATGTTACACACACACACATATATATATATATATATATTTTATAGTAGTAGTAGTATTTTATAGATATATAGTATAAGGTATATAATAGCATAGTATATATAATATATTGATAAGGTTCATATATATATATATGTGCGTGCGTGCGTGCGTGCGTATGTGTGTGAACTCAAGCGCAGCATAATCATGCCCACACATCGATTTTAATCACGAGTTATGCCTGTAGAGAAAAAACCATAGAGCTTTTTCCCAATTTCCATGTAATATACTCTGATCCCCTTATGTAATAACGGCAAATAGGTGTAATATTCAACATTGTGGAAGAAATACGCGCTACATAATTCCTGAACGACGAGTGCATCAAATATATACCTCCTAGGGAATTGATGGCGCAGATAACAGCGTTATCTTTTAGTTTATTATTAATATGTTTTATTATTTTTTTACCTTTTATGGCCCAGTCACGCATACGCGACGCGCGCATTGAAAAAATGGAAAATCAGTGCGTCGTTGTGCGCCCAACTTTTGTCAGGATTTGGGAGAAGCTAGCGAGTTGACAACGAATGCACAGCGTGTTGCTAGTGCGCGGAACGAATGGTCCGCGCATGCACCGCGCATTCAACGCACAGCCAGCGAACAGCAGCGGTCATGCATGCTGTGACAATGAGCTTGACGGTCTCGGGCTGCTGCTGCATCGTGCTCAGGAGAACTTGGAAACGGTTGGCCAGGATGCCGAAGGCATTTTCTACGACCCTCCTAGTTCGGGAAAGCCGGTAGTTCAAGATGCGCTCCGGCCGCGTCATACCCCGGAGGCTGTACGGCTTCATTATGTTGGGTCGTAGGGCGAAGGCATCGTCGCCGACGAAGAAGTAGGGCACATCCTAGTTGTCGTTGGAAAGAGGATCGGGATCAGGGAAGCCTAGACTACCATCTTCAACGCATTCATTCAGCTCAGAGGCATTGTAGATCTGAGCGTCTGATGCTGATCCCATACCGCCGATGTCTGATCAGATGAACTTGTAATCAGCATCCACGAGCGCCATGAGGACAACGGAGTAGAACCCTTTGTAGTTGTAGTATAGGGAATCACTGTTTGGAGGACACTTGCAGTTAACGTGCTTGCCATCAAGTGCACCACAGGTATTGGAGAAGTTCCACCTCTCCATGAACAGATATAGCACGCCATTCCTCAGGAGTGGTGGGACACTTCATCCCCTCATCCTTGTACTCATCGATGATGGCCTGGCACACTTCTGGGATGAGGAGGGATATGGTGTTGTGAGGCACCCTCCACCCATAGGTCATTGAGTAATACTTAGTCCCAGAGACAAGATGCCGCAGAGTGAGAGCAAGCTTCAGGCCAGGGTCGAGGGCCTCTCTGTAGGTTGTATTCTGCTTGGTGATCCTCGGACCCATTCTGGTTAGCAGATCATCGAACATCTCGGAGGGCATCCGCATGAAGTTCTTGAAGGCTGCCTGGTCTTCGTTACGGAGTTCAACAAGTAGCTGGTCATACAGGCCAAACTGTCGTCGCCTACCGATCCACGGTCGGACCCAGAACCTCCGTTGACCTCTTCTCTTTCTCCTTCTCCTGATGACATGGACTTGGTGAAGTGCCAGTTCCATGAGGTTCTGCTGATGTTGGAGAACCGCGATTTCGTATTGTAGTCGCAGCTTGTCGGGATCCTCCATCCTCTAAGGTGGTTCTTCTAGACACGATCAGCAGGAACCTCTGTCATTACCCACGAGGGTCGGAGGAGAAGTGATGATGAGGAGGTGGGGCGGGACCCGTTTATATACCCAATGGCTACACGCTGCGTACACGCTAGGAACACGCTAGAAGAACGCTGGGCGCGCTACAGACTCGTTCAGCACTCGTTCAGCACGTCCATATTCGCTGCATGTTTGCTGGACATGCGTTAGAAGCACGCTAGGTGTTCGCTATATGTGCGCTAGGTGTTCGCTACACCTCAGCCGACGAACATACAACGAATACCCAGCGTGTGCTCCGCGTGTGTCTGGCGTTGGTCCAGCGCGCTCTGCGCGTGTCTGGCATCCTTCTGGCGTGTACATTCATGCGTCGAACTCCGCGCACATTTTTGTGCATGCACAAAAATCCCGACGCACACAGCGAATGACAACGAATGCATAGCGTTGGTCCAACGCGCTCGACGAACGAGTAACAAATGCTGACGCACACCCAGCGAAAGACAACGCACTGGCCAAAATTGCTAATTTTTCAGTGCGCGGGCCGTGCGTCGTGTATGTGTGACGGGCGCGTATAATGCGGATATGCTTATATGCGGATATGCGGATATGCTTTCGTTATAATTTGAACGCAGTGTGACGTCTGCGCGCGATCCGTCCCGTTAGCTGGCTTCACATCAACACGGGCTATTCGTCACACGCATATGTTCATTACTTTTCGCTACATGATAGCAGATATAGCACTTGATATGGCGATAAGCGACCTAATCTGCCAAGAACCATCACTGCCAGAACCATAGTAAGATAGAAATAGACTAATCAACTATGCAATCACAAAGTCTGACGTCTAGACCTAAAACACAGATTGCAGTTTGGACCAAGCTATGACATTTGAGCTGTCATGATCGGCACTAATGTACAGCTTGTCAATACAGGTGTAGGTTATGCTAACTCGTGTGCACATAACTAAAGGTAGGCTACGCGTTATTATGATAAAAACGAGAAAACCCATATTGTTACTATTTTTGCGCCACAGACTGCAGTGTTTGGAGCGTTTTCATCAAGTCTAACCTCGCATAATAAAGTCTATGTCCGCTCTATAATTCAATTCGCGCATGTCTAACGCTTGTATATAAGCGCGTGTCGACTTTTTCACGCAGTGCTGTCCTCACGAATGTAGGCGGCACTGCGATCGGTCGGTAAGTTTACTGAGCTTTTAAACTATAAACTTAAACTACAAACGTCTTAGCGTCTTAGACGGTATAAACCTATACACAATTTCGATGTGTAGTAGATAGTACAATACTTTTTGTAGTAGAATAACGCACTTGTTTCACTTTTTGTTGATGATAAAATGTCGCTGTGAATTTTGCTAACTGCTTTGACATTGTGTTCAATCTTCTCGATGTTTTCCCATATCTCTTCCACCTGAAAAACAAAACCATAATATTGAATACGATTCCGTTTTAACTACTCTCTATGCTGTCCGCAATCTCTACAAGGGTTGCTGATATATATATATATATATATATATGTATATAGTAGACGATGCGATACAACGAGAAAAGCAATTAAAAGTTTTACCCCCAATTACTTTTAGTACTCTAACTACTATTTAGGAGCTAGATGACACCTCGTGTGTTTTTCCTTCCGTTCATCTGAAGCCATATATATATATATATACTAGTACTAATTATAATTATATATTTATACTAGTAATATAAGTAAACATGAGATGAATCCGGGATTTTCCGCTATTCCGCTGGCACCGTCATACATGTAATTAGTAAACTCGATATGCAGGCGGACTCACTATTACGCGGTCCGAACTTGTAGACCCATATCCACGCACACTTATGCGGGTCTACAGCTATATAATATATATGATATATATATATATATATATATGCCTAATATATATTCGATCACCTGCTCCATTCGATGCGTAATAAGCGCTTAGTTAGTTATGGTTAAATGTTTGACGTTAATAATGCGGTTTGGCGGGATTAAATCGTAAGTAAAATCGTCTCGATCCCACGCTCCTGTCCATCCGGCGGCTTTGGCCATGATGGACTGTCCTGCTACACGAAAATAATGTATTAAAACATGCGTGCCCGCATCCTCCAAAAGCCCCGTTGAACGGCGTCGCGCTGAAATGCCGTGTAGTGTG